GACTACGAATACATTGGATTCCCAAGAAATGATAGCCGAGATTGTTTGGAACCCGAAGGTAGTTGATCCATACGATCCATGGATATGAGGAATCGAAGCCAACCATAAACCAGCAAACAAGACTACAGACCACCCCAGGGCAGACCCTAATTTTCTGCCCATGGATTTGGGTACACCTACGGATCTTGCTTTACGAACGTGATGCTCAGCGATAAGCATTCCGCAAAGAAAGCAAGAAATATCATATCGCATGCACCAAAATGCGTAGTAGATCAAGAATAAAGTGAATCCGAGACGAACGACTGGTCTCAATCTTCCCAAGCCAGTGAGTGTAATGAATAGTAAGAAAGAACACCATAATTCTTTGGGTATGGTGTACAGAGGTGCAGCATATTCAGACTTCGTAACGTTGTGAAGTGATACTGTCCACTCGTAAGGGTATAGCAGCTTGCTGAACACATATTCCAGCCAGTCCACAAATTGAAGTAAAAATGTTTCTTGGTAGATTGGGCCGCCAAGGTCCATATCCACCGTTCCAGAGTATTTGGCATCAAACACGTGTGTTCTGGTGAGCAACATTATCACAAACGTAACTGCCATCGGCGGAAGCACTATGCGAAAGGCTCTTCGAAATGTGGCAGAGGACAATGAACGGTAAAGTCGCTCCCAATCTTTCTCATAGATCAACTCCAATGGTCGAAGCGCCAGAGCAAAGCCAGAAATAACAAAAAATATCGCCACCATTACACTGCCAGAGAATGCAAGACGGATGATGGGTAGTTGCCAGAAATATGGATGATCACCATATTCTTCAAACATCAAAGGATGGAACTTCATAGCGACGTGCTCTAGATAGACACAAAATGAAGCAACTCCTCGCATACCATCTAGGTATGCTGTTGGACTCTGGCGTGTAGGGACTTCGACTTTGTAGCCGCAGAATCTTGAAATTGGACTTGGCAAAAGAGTAATAGCAAGGGATTTTAGCCCATGGTGAAGCTTGGACATAGCGGAAGTCTCCTCGTCAAAGGGCATGCCTTGAAGAGTTTCATCACTCATAGCATCTTCACTGCCGCGATCATAGCTTTTTTGGTTGTCGAATTCATCCGATGTCGTGTTCCATTGAGACTGGGCTGACTGCTTCTCTGCCAAAGAGTGTTGAGATCCGGCCGTGGTAATATCAGATTCAGTTATCGCCATTGTCAATTGCAATATGAGAGAATGAAGTTAGGCTAGCTAGGGGACAAAACGTTCGTACAAATCTTCAAAAGCACATTGAATAGTATAAGGGCCATTGAGAACTAGGATCAATTCTTCGAGACCGAGACTGATTCGTAGAGACTGCTTCGAGATTCGGAAAAGCTACATTAGGATACGGAACTTCAGCTTATCCTGTGCTATCGCGAATGACGCGCAATATTGGCGATGCATCTCTTGCACACACCGAATTTGAAGGCCCCGAATCTTCACACACCGACTTTGTCGGGACAATTCACGTAAGCATTTAGCTTTGTCGTCGCATATTCGTCGGATATGTGCATTGCAGATATCGACGTATACGTTAGACATCAATCTTGAAGAAGCTTGTACTGCGACCTAAGCTTATCTTTTAGGTCAATCTTCAACGGCTAAAGTCCGCATGTAGCACGCGTACACATGCGAACATGGTGTGATCTTCAAAATATCCGAGTATAGAATTGGTTCAGAAGGAGGGGATTTGTGATAGTGCAGCTCAGCTCATGGCCACGTTTTCCTGCATATATTTATTTAGTTGTATTGAGAACCACAAATTCGTATGGACGGACTGACCAAGCTCTAGTTTTGCCGGGGTCGCTTGAACTAGAGTTGATAGCCCGTGCATGCGTCCCGGATCCGGGTCCACTTCATTTCTTGAATCTAATTCGAAAATCCATTCCTCTTGATGAGCCTGACTCATTCTGAACATTAAGTTCCCCACAACGCAAGCATGAGGTCATGGGCAAACATTTGTGGCCGTTCTAGGAACGGAAAGTTCAAACTACGTGCTGGACCTCTAAGCTCACATGATACCTTTTAGCGAGGGAATGATATGAAATCACTCCAGTTTCACGTGACAAGGTCTCTGTACTGTCAACTGGCTTCGAAAGTCCTTATGATAGGATTGATTATCATTCAGGTGTGCTATCTATCATATGCACTTTGCTACATTTAAACCCTGTCCTAACTATAAACCTTGATATCTGCAAGTGATCTTAAAGCCGACTCTCAGCAATCTGGAAAGTCGATGTTAATCCTAGTCATAACCGTATCAAAGGACGCAGTCTGGTTCATCAACTGATCCGTACAACTGCAGGATCGGGGAGTCAGTAAGGCCTTTTGATAGAGCTAATCGGAGGAAAAGGAGAAACTTGGTGTTTTGTAGTACAAAGTTAGTGTTAGGGTTGTACTGACTGCTCTGTGTGATGGTAGGATGACAATCCAGATTCCAAAACTCCTCCTCTAAGCAATGACCGATGCATCATCCTCCATCCATAGGAACAATGAAAGATGTGGTATTTTCTCGTGGTCCAGACCATCACCTTAACCTCGGACAACTCTTTATAATCCTTCACAGGTTTCGTTCCCTCCATATCATAGAAAAATGGCTCTGAAGCCACCTCAAGGAACTCCTCAGACAGTTCATCGTCGTAGCAGTCTCTATGAAGCCAAGCCATGGTCATCAAATCAAAGACACAGCCATTCACCTTTGCAGTTTCAGAGTCGAGGCCGCAAGGTTGGAGTTTATGCGCCGTAGAGGGATTCACGCGGGACATGCCTACGGGTAGAACACCATCTCCACTAACGGAGTGAGATTTGAGGAACGGTGAGCCGTTGATGAAATAGAGAACGAGGATGACTGCCGTGAAGAAGAATGTGCCAATTTGAAGACACAACTGGATTCGAGAGGTCCGGATTCTGTGTCTGCTTGTGCCATTTCCGGTTGAGATGAAAGGAGCGTCTTCTTCGCCTTTGTCTGCATCCCGTTCGCCGTACATTTTGCTGAGAAGTGTGTATTTTGGCTTTCCTGGGTAGGCCATGATTTGAAGTTAAATCCGTGGGCGATCTATAAGCACAAAAGATTGGATAGTATAGGTGATTTGACAATTACGAGTGTAAGGCTATGGGAGCTATAATCAGATCAAAGGCAAATGAATTGGATAGGTACTGATAGGCACTTGACACAGAGCCACCCGTTTGATATTGCCCGAACACTCTCGGACATGAGCTTTGGCACCGAAGAAATATTACATAATATAATCCCATGTACTCTCCGCTGAAGAGACTAGAGCAGTGGTCTTAGTTTAGGTAAATGTGCATAATATGTTTCGTACAACATCTTGTTTAGGTATATTAGGTTTTGAACTTTTGATGTTATGTTCCAAATCCTACAGGTCAATCGAAAACGTTTTTCGCATGGTGTGAGAACGTATGAAGGATACTAAATTCATTGCTCATAATTCAACATATGCCAAACCATTTCTTTTTCTTGACATTATAGACAGTTATCTCAAGTCCTACGTAGTATAAGTGCATCGATTTCGAGGAAGACAAGATTGGACGATATTACACGACACCCCACAAAAAGGATATACCTATCAGAATGAAATTGAAATTTGGACTTGGTTAACCATGATTCACTGTACTATGATATTTCCTTACGCTACATATCAATTACGCCGTATTAATTAACATCTCTAATCCTAACACACTTTCCAAAAAGCAATTGAACTCTTGTGGTAACCTTTTCAAACTCTACCCTCTCAGGATCCAAGAATACACTAACGCAGTGGTCCGTATGAAACATTCCTATCCCTTCATTTGTAACAAGGTGTCCACTCATTGCCTATCATAATTGTCAGCATTCATTCAGAAGTTCAGAAATTCGAGTTACTCACAGCAATGTGTAAGAGCTTGAAGATATAAGCGCAATGAGCAATGTGGTAATGCTCCTGTGTCCACACCATTGGGATATCGGTCTCCGCTGTCACAGATGTAACCCATGGCAACTCATTTTCCGTGAGCTCGTATCCTGGTTTTTTGTTGGTATTTGAATACCATTTCCACGGCCCATATAATTCTAGAAATTCATCCGAGATGTTCTTGTTGTAGCATGCGGGATGTGTCCACGAAAAGGACATGAGATCCCATACGCAGCCTTTCTCTAGGGCCTCTGCTGGACTATTTCCACAGTCTACGATGATGGTGTCGCCTGCTTCTACTAAGGGCCATCCTCCTGGTTTCAGGTCAGGCGTGATTGCTGGGATATAGTTGATAGTTGGTTTGCGGTCGAGCAGTGCAGCAAGAGCAAAGAGGAGAGTGGCTGCTAGGATACTTGATATTATGGCAATGACGGTAGAGCAATTCCACCAGCGTCTGGATGAGCTTCCTCGGTACTCTTGCTGTTTGGAAAGTTTTTCTGTGTCGTAGTTGTCATCCCCGGATAGATCCATTCCACCTAAGGAAAGAAAACTTTCATCCTCTCCATTAGAAGTTACAGAATATGTGTGGGAATCATAATCTAGCGCTATGGGAATCATTTAGCTTGGCCAATATGAAACATTTAAGCGCAAATGTAATACTCACCATTCTTGACCTTGCCAACAACCGCCGTTCCAAGAGCTTTTGGGGACATTTTTACACTCGATGGTAATCAAATTGGGCAAAATGATTATCCAATTGATAGTTCAAGGAAATAAATCTAAACAAAAATTAATTTCCTCTAAACATTTTTCGAAGAATATGAAAAGGAAACTCTAGATCAACATATCGGGCTTAGAGGCCAATAAAAGTGGGGCCGCCGCACTAACAATCACCCCGAAAGCTTTCGGAGCCTATTTCGACCACCACTCTCATTTCGTGAGTTCAAGAAACATACGTATGGTGCCGTCGATACTACTGCGGAAAAATTCCTTTCGTTCGAGGTGGAGAATTGAGCAATCAAACAGCATTTTTTCCATACCCAGTTAAACAACATTCACAAAATGCCATACGCCGTGCAATACGTATCCACAAGCGATGCACCAGGTCTAGCAGAGGCGATGATGAGCGCCTGGTGGCAAGATGAGCACTGGAAAGTTCTATGGGCGAAAAGCAACATGCCGCTCGAGCAAATAATTTCTGATTGTAGTGAGCGCTTGCCGTGGAATTTCATGAGCGGCCGAAGCGTCAAACGGCACCTCAAAGTTGTTGATTCAGATTCTGGGGAAATAGTAGCGTATTCGCGATATATTTTACCCCAGACCCATACCGAAATATGGCCCGAAGCCCAGATTTCTGAACCTAGTTCTGAGGAAAAGGCGGAATACGAAAGAAAGTTTAAGAGTGTCACAGACAATGGAAAGATAAGAGGAATGGATTATGCGTTTGCTTCGGAGTTTGGGAACCCTCTTGCAGAAGTGGAGGAAGAAATTTTGAAGGATAGTGGTTCTTGTTTTGGTATGTTTGATAACAGTCTATGATACAAAGAAAGTAGGACTTTCTAACTCCGAAAAGCTGTGGATTACATGACGACCCATCCTGCTCACCAACACCACGGAGTAGCGTCAATGATGTTGAATCAAGCTCTCACAGTTGTAGATGAAGCGGGCTTGAAATCAATTGTAATGGCAAGTCCGGCTGGACAAAGACTGTATGAGGGACATGGCTTTCAATTTGTGCGCACTCTTGTTCAGGATGATTCTAAATACGGGACTACATCACCCTACGTTCATTCTTGGCTTATTAGACCATCTCCCAAATAGAGTCACGGAACAATAACGAGGAATCACCGCTTATGTGCCCTAGTGTTGCAAAGTGATATCGAAATTATTTTTCAAGGGTAGCTTCTGATTTTGATAATAGGTAGATAAGAAATTTGGAATAAATACATGAATATCAGCGTTCTAGATCTTAACTCATTGATTAAAAAAAAGTTACTCAAAGCCAGTTCGATCACACGACTGGATAATTCAAGCATACCCTACATCTTCATTGTTGATCTCACTCAGCCTTACACACGGATTGTACAACATCCTGATCCAGGTGTTCATTACTTCGCCATTTCCCCATTCTCCAGCCTCATACCTGCCTACCAGATTCTCACAATGATTCCTGTGATAATCCCTCGCTATTTCCTGTGGAACAAGAACATCATCATCCTCCACCGCTCGCGCTATTATTTTCATCGTGTACACGCAGTGCTGATAATGATAGTTTATCTGAGTCCACGTCTCGACAGATCGCTTGAGAATCTCAACATCCTGCGGCAATGCAAGTGTAAGATTTTCCCCGATATACCATGGCCATGGTCCGGTGGCCAGTGCTTCTTCGTATAAGTCTTGGTAGAAGCACTCTGGAGCCGTGAACCCGTAGTTCATGAGATCAAAAACGCAACCGTATTGCTCGGCTTGGCTTGGAAAACTCCCACATCTTTTCGTTCCTCCTAATTCAGGCGAAGGCCCTTCACCCGCATCAACAAAATCCGGTTGAAGAGAGTTCTGTTGTGACAGAGTCCGGATTCTCACAAATGAGCCTGGTGTATGAATTGTGAAGCTCGAGATGGTGAGGATGAGAATACACAGTGTGGCGAGGACTCCGGAAACGAGGAGTGACTTTGGCGCTTGAACGAATTCTTGTAAGACCACGCTGAGACTTTGCTTTCGTGTCCGGTAATGCATGGGGGTTTCCATTATCGGACCTTCTTCATCATCGTCGTCGCCCATGGGAACGGGGTCATAGAGCTTAACCTCTCCCATCTCATCATCATGAATTGGTTCTAAAAACAAGATCTTAGCAGATTTCAACGACGGAGAAGGATGCAATTTACTCATTCTGACTTAAATTGCGATTGAAGTGGATCCGTAAGAGAAGTGCCAAAAAAACTAATAATCTCAAAGATACCAAAGAAATACGCTTATCTCAAAAAGAAGACGACAACATGGTACCAAAGTAGTGATAAGAGTCGCTTATATTACAGAATCGGAAAATTGTTGTGTATGTGGTTTTGGTGGCTTCGGGTGGGGAACTGTCCCGACCATTTTCGGACATTTCTGAGCCCGAATTTTGGACAAAATCTATCGCTACAGTATACAGCCAACCAAACTGAAGAAGAAGAATGACTTGTTGGCTTTCTCCAATCACGTCAAATTATTTGAGTGTGGATCTCTTGAGGACGACTTCTCTTCAGTTCTCCGGGTGTTCTGTACGTTTCCTGTGACATGCTTGATTTTTCGACATTTGCTCGTTGAAGAATCTCCCTCACTACACATTACTCCCCAATAACATCAATAGAATGCCTCATCATTACCAACAAGTTAGATCATCAACTACAGCGATTCGAAGATGGCGAGAAGACGAGGAAGTTCCAAGTCGTGGCAAGCTATTTTTGCTCTGCCTTACAATATGTCTAGGAGGGTCAGTATCTATTACTGAACACTTAATATGCCGTCAACTGATTTTCTATAGGCTCCAAGTTGTTTGGGCAACAGTAATGGCTCAAGGATCTGTATGGTTCCTTAAATTTGGTTAAACAGTGTCAAATACTAATCTCACCAGAGTTATCTCATTTCCCTTGACTTACGACCCTCCGTAGTATCTCTGGTCTGGCTAGCAGGGCCAATCTGTGGTACTCTGCTCCAACCATATATAGCATACAAAAGTGACTATTGTACACACAAATGGGGGCGAAGAAGACCCTTCATGATATACGGTACAATCGCTACAATAGCTTGTATTAACGCGCTTTCCTGGACGAGCGAGGCCGTTCGATTAATATGCAATCTCTTAGGAGTGTCAGACCATGGTTTTGGTGCAAAATTCGTCATTCAGGTATTCGCAGTCACGGGGGTATGGCTACTGAATGTCGCCATTCAACCTGTTCAGGCGAGTATCAGGGCGTTGATTGTGGATGCGTGTCCAGGTTCTCAAGCAGCTAAAGCAAATTCTTTTGCAAGCATTGCGGTCATCATTGGAAGTGCAATCGGATATGGCTGTGCTTTTATTGAGATGCCCAAAGGACCTGCTTGGTTGACCAATCCTCAGTTCAAGGGTCTCTGCTTCATTGCCTCTATTTCGCTTGGTATCACTGTCACTATCACATCTGTAATGATTGAGGAGGAGACGGTAAATATTGACAATGATGGATCCGAAAAATCAGGGCTCCGAAAAATATGGATAGAGATATATGGGGCGATTAGAAAACTACCCCCCACGATCAAAATGATTATGGCAGTCCAGTTTTGCGCTTGGCTGGCTTGGTTCCCATTTCTTTTCAATATTGTATTGTAAGTTCAGCGCCATATTTGATAAAACCGCATAGCTAACTTGCTGACCACATGAAGATTTCTCAGTAGGCTTTGTAAGCTACATATACTCCTCATGTTATTTTTTATTACTGACCACCTCAATGTAGATGAAGTTCAAACTCTTTCTGAAAAAATGGGTCCACCCTCGACCAAATTTTATAACGGCCTTCGACAGCAGTCAATTCGGCATGCTACCCTGGCAATGCTAGTCTTCTCAATGGTGGCACTTGTCACCAACCTTTGCCTGCCTTATCTCATCGTCGATGCGGATTCTTCATCTAACTCAGAACTAGAGTGGCAGAAGGAAGAGCGACTCACAAGTGCAAAATCTGGCATCTTCGTGGTATTGCAGAAAAGACTTGTGAATCGCCTAGCACTTCCCCGAGTGTGGATGATATCACATATTATCATGGCTTTTGCGCTGTTTGGGATAACTTTTGGAGGAGACGGTTTCATGACAAGTGTGTTATTTGTCTCACTATTGGGCTTTTCTTGGACACTCACCCAATGGGCCCCTTTTGCCATGATTGCCGCCGAGATAGCTTCTTCTTCTATACCAGACTTAAGAAGCCTGGAAACAGACACAGAGGATCAATCCGCTAGTCTGGAGAGTGTAGCCGACCTGAGACCGAGGGCTGGAATAACGATGGCTATACACAACATTGCCATTGCGACACCACAGATGCTGTCAGCTATAGTGGGGGCTCTGATCTATTGGGTATGTAGACAATCACATACTGGGGAAACTGATGCCATGAGATGGGTGTTGAGAACGGGAATTGTGGCTGGTATATGTGCTGCTTGGTGTGCGAGGAAATTATGATCGAGCCTGCTTTTGAGCTTGACCTGAATGATTCTAGGAATTTTCAAGCCATTCTCTGGTTGCCTAGCTTATACGAAAGTAGTCTGTGTAAAAACATCCAATCCACCACCACTCTACAGACTTGTGAAATTTCAATCCCGACTTGGATATTGCTTGCTTGCATGCTTTGGGTATACACAAAATAACTGGACTGTATAAATTTTCAAACCAACTTCTTTCATAACTTATCTAAAAATAAAACCCAAAGCTGTAAAATGAGATGTAATCCGATGGATAGAAATTACCCGTATAAATAAGCCTCATAAAGTCTTGAACAAGAATTGGAAATCATATGAGCATGAATCGTATGAATACCATCCATAGTATTCTCCACACAGGTAAAACAAAATAAAATCATTAAACGTCTCCTTGACAACTAGCAGACGTATTGCTGAAGCAAGTCATCATGCTAAATTAGAGGGCAGATTCACGTTCCACATGTCCCGATTCTGAATGTCCGATTTTGTACGGACTTTACTGGACCCGTTTTTCCCAACCATTTCTACGGCTATGCAACTTGTATAGCAATGCGAACTTTCATTTTTCTACTCTCTGTATGACTGCAGGGTCTTGTTCTACACTCTGTGTTGAATCCTACATATCCATGCAATCCTCTTATCTGTAATCGTTGAGCTCAATCGATTCGGAGTACCACTATCGCCGTTTTCTTACAACTTCCTGAAATATCGTAAACCGTTTTTAAGGATCCCTGGTGTACGACAGACAGAGCTGCTCGTCACTTCAAGATATGGCTCGTTTCGAAGATGTAGTGTTGAAACTCAGGAGATGTATAGAAAATCTACTTCCGCACAAACTTATGGGATGTAAATCTGATTTATCGTGTAATAGGGGCATTCCTTTCCGAAGAGAACAATGGAAGCGATGAAAAGCTTCTCGCTAGCACCACCTCATCGTCTGTGGCTTCAATAGATGAAGAGGATTCCTCTTCAACTGGAAAAGAGACAAGACAGCAAACTCGTCATAGAATCTTTTTCATCTCCAGCATCCTCGCCATAGCCGTGCTAGGAGCCGTGACTCTCACTACTCTTCTCGTAGATAGCCACAGTGGAGTTGTACCAAATACTCCCCCGCCGCCTTCTCAAGGCGGCTCCCGAGTAGTCGCCCACTGCGGTATCTCAGCCCAAGAAGCTATGGAACGCGGCTGCCTGTGGGACATCATGTCATTCGGCTGGATCCACCCTCTTTGTTTCGACAAGGAGGAATCTGATCGTTGGGCGGCAAAGTACGGACCATTCGACTGGTACGTTGATGATGGACAGGCAGTAGATGAAAAGGAACAACCTGTCAATGGAACCCTGACGCAGCCGTTGAGTTTGGATGAGATTCCTTTCGCACAATCAGTCTGGACAACTCAAGGGTACCACATTATGCATTGTTTGTATCTATTAAAGATGGTTCATGTGGCGGCATTGAACAGTGATCCGGTAAGCAATGAGGCTGTGAATCTAGGGCACACGGATCATTGTGTGGGGTTGATTGGGAATACTGATTTGATTGAGTATGATGCGATCACTACACCAGTGCGGCTGCTTTTTGTACAATGTGTTACCCTCCAATGACGAGGAATAAAAATCGGCTGGAAAGCGAATGTATTTAAAACATTTTTACTTCCTAGCGGAGTAGGAAGACTACCTAGATAATATCAGCAATGGGATCAATTTAAAGTTGTTAGGAATCGTTGTTCATCAACCTTTGATTACTCAAAATACTCAAAAACTAATAAAAATACTTCAGGAACTATAATATTGAGCAAAAATTAGATTGTAGATGCCTTTCACAAATGAGTAACTTCAGGGAATGGTTAAAGACAGGAAAGTAGAGAACAAGAAGGTTAATCATGCTGGGTTTGCGGAATGTACAAGGTGCAATTGTTGTACATATATTCATTAATATTTCTTAATTCGATAAGTCATTCGCTAGCAAAGCTAGCAAAGCTGAGTGCAAGCTCTTAAACTCTTGCAAGAGCTTAGCAAGATCTATTTATACTTCTACAATCATCATCCCTTCAAAGGCACCTAACAAGGCAAACCAAATCCATACAACGTTTGCTTCGTCACGGCGGATTATTCAATGCTTTATTTTACCCCATTTTGTTGCGCCCCGTTACCATTCCCTTGCCCTCGATTTTGATTCACGATGGCTTGCGAGTGCTGCTGCTGTTGTGCTGCCTGTTGTTGTGCTGCCTGTTGTTGTGCCTGCTGAGTAATTAGTCTCTGCTGATGATGATTACTCAACATTTGAGCATACATCTGCGGACTAGCATTCTCGATGCCGATTGGCGGTGGTCGCTGTCCTCCTTGGCCATTCATTCCGATGCTGTTGTTACCGGCTGCTGCGTTCATAGCGCTGGTTGCTATGCCGCTTGGAGGTTGGACCAAGCCTCGCTGCTGCAAATGCCTGTTGTTAGCATATGCAGCTATATTTTCACCCACCAATTTGTGGATTTCGTTTGGAGACGCATTGGGATTAGCTTTTTTGACGTTTTGTGCTATTTCACTGAACGGGACATTTGGAGGCAGACCACCATTAGGAAGTCCAGAAGGTGGCAGGTCTAGCCGAGGGGAGCCTGCTTGAGCTGGAGAAGGCGCTGATATACCAGGAGAACCAGCCATACCATTGATATGGTTGTTATTGTAGGAGTTCATATTATTGGGCATAAATCCAGGCTGCGTAGGCATTCCATTCATTCGCGGAGGGGAATTCTGCGCCTGCCCTGGATGCGGGCTATTCTGCTGCTGCGCCATGCTCTGCATGTGTTGTTGTTGCCTTTGTTGTAAAGCAGCACGACGAGCGCCATCTGCAAGCTCAGGTGTTAGGGCAGGGTTCAATGGCAGGCCTCCCTGCATTTGGGCTTGCGGAACACCATTAGACATTGCTTGTGGAATTCGAAGATTGTTGGGCATCGGTCCAACTCCAGCCATGTGAGGGGGCAAAGGACGAGGTCTATTCTGTCCAGGAACAGCGAGATGACCGTTTCCATTGGGTGGTCCAATCGGAGGAACGAGACCGTTCGGAAGAGCTGGACCACGCTGTTGGGGCAAGCCATTGGGGTGAGCCTGCTGCTGCTGAAGTGCATTTCTTTGACGAGCTTGTGCTTCCTATTGCGATGTCAGTATGTTTACATAATTTTGGATAAAATCTTGTGACTACGTACTCTTCTGACCTGTTCCTGTCGTAGCTGGAAGGCAGCCATGCTTTTCTTGTATTGCTCCTCTCGGTCATGTTTCAAACGACTAAATTCTTGAGGGGTCTTGATAGGTGTCCATGTTTGAGGTTGTTCAGCTGGCTTCCTTGCTGCGGCCTGTGCGGCAGTCAATTGCTGCTTTTGGGCGGAGTTCTCGCGTTTCTTCGCCAATCTTCTCATTGCATCGATTAAGCTTAAATGTTTCTGGTTTCTCCGTTTCTCCACACGTTGGGTGGTGGTAGTTCGCTTTCGAGGTGGGACTGGTTGACCATTCACGATGGGTTGCCGGGCAGCTTCAGCAGCCATAACCTGTAGATTTCGCTGGGCTGCCTCCATTCTATTGTTATAGGCCTTAAAGTACGCGGTCTTTTGCATTTCTGCGGGTAGCCCTTCTAAAGCTATCCATCGTTCAAAACATTCCCAAGGCGTACGTCTCTCAGCACCTGATGAAAATAGCGATCGGCTTGATAACATGTTGGAAATAAATGACCAATTGTAAGCATACTCTCGTACATGCCTCTTCAACTCGTCGTCCTCGGCACAAGTCCACTGTGAGCATGAGCGATTCTCAAAGAAACTTTGCACTGGCATGGGAAATTCTGAGGGTGGCCGGAATTGGTGTCCAGCATGAATGCGGTCGCGGATGTGCTTGTTGGCGGGGTCAAATAAACCAATATTGGTTTGTTCGGGTGGTAAAAGAGACTTCTCACGCCTAAATTCGCCCATTTCGGCGTCTTCATCCTCACTGTCTTCTTCATACTCAAATCGGCTCCGCTTCCGCGAGGGGCCTTGAAACTTCAATTCCATTCTTCCCTCTACGTACTTACTGATACCGACCGCAGGTCGTCTCCAGAAGCGATCGGGGTCAACTTCAGAGGAAGGCAAGTCATTGCAAGGAACACTCAATGGCGCACCATATAAGGGCAATTCCTCTAATAGTTTATCAGTGGCAGGCGATCTACTCAATCCAAAGACAACATCTTCATCCTGAAGACCAAAGATCGCAGTGGGGCTGACAGTATCTATAAGACTGAGGCGAAGTTCATCATCAACATCGTCCATTGGAGAATCAAATTCTGCAGAGGCGATCAGTTCGGGAGTAGAGTGCGAAAGAGATTTACTAGTCTCATCATCCATTTCGATATCTTTCGAGGCATCAGCCAGGACTAATGCTGGGCGAGTAGCATTTACTTGTAGGATTTTTCGTTCCTCAATGCTAGCTTCAAACCACTCGGCACAAGCATATGCTAAGTTCTTAGCCACTGCCATTTTCCACTTTCGTTCTTCACGGAAATCTGTTCGCATCCATTTCGCTTCTTGGAGTAGGACGTCCCAATGTGTGGTTGGCCGAATGGGTTCTTCGGATCGCTTAGGTTGACGCAGAGACCATTTAGAAGTGTTCTGAAGCCCATATATGCGCTTCAGAATCCTTGTAGTTTGATTCTCAGTTATGGGCACAAAAGCATTCGACGTCGTGATAGTTTTATGAGCGGTTTGTAGTAGTCCATCCAACGGTGGATAGCCTGTTTTTTGTGTGTTGTGGCTATTGAGATACAAACACGCAAAATAATCGTCATAAGGAGATGCTGCATGTGCTGCATGTGAATTGGCGCCCTTGGGCATCAAAGCAGTATCGTTGACTCGGGGACCAGGAGTAGGCTTTTTAGCAAACACGACCGTTGAAAGTCTACTTTGGTTCTTCTCTTTTGATTTCTGGAGCAGGCTGCGAGTGGACCCCGGCGTACTTCCTCTCGAAGGAGAGTTCACGGCTGATCCGGTATCTGGCTTGCTAGTAGGACTTCTTGCCGAAGTGGGAGAGGTGCTCAGCGCTGGCGTTTCGCCTAGAATCTCAGATACAGACTTATGTCTGATTGCCCCTGAAGCGACTCTTGTCGTCATACGCTCAATTGGCGCTTGAACGGGAGCGGGTGTTGACGACGGTGTTTTGCGTGTTGTAGGAGTAGATGTTGCAGATGGTGGCGTCTTAGCATCAGAGGGCAGCTGCATTGGGGTCTCTTCGATAGAAGTTGGTTCTTTTGCATTCGTGGCAGGACCACTATCTAGCGTAGTTTGACTTCCAAATGAATCCTTGACAGTAGCCACATCCAAATCCATAGCGTCGACTGGAGTTTGTCCTTCGCCCTCAGAATCCGGTACTTCGTTTGCTTTGGGGGTCGAACGAACCTTTTCGCTTCGCACTGTTTCATCTGGCAGCGAAACGTTTGCGTCGTCGCCGGTTCTTTCCACGGCAAGTTTCTTTTCTACACTTTTGTCTTCCTGTGCCAGTGGTTTAGAATCTTCAACGCACTGCGAACTCGAAGCTTCAGAATCTGCTATCTCAGCAACCGTAGCAATTTTTGAGCCGGCAGCGGCTTGGTCCTCCATACGAAGTTGAGCATCAGCTGACATTGAATTACTACCTAGAGCCTCAGTACTGGAGAGTTCATTTTGAGTCTTGTGTCTGCTGTTGTGTTCATCTTCCTGAGCAATGTCCTCGCGATTGGACTTTGTCTCTGTTGAAGTTTTGAGATCGATCTCATTATCTGGGTTCTCAGCCTCTTCGTACCGAGAATTATCATTCTCGGGACTTGTGTCTGCAGAAACATCGTGCCGGGCAGGAGTTGTGGTTGAATGTGCATCTATTGTCGAACTTGGAGAGGAAGGTAAATCCACCGCAATCCTAAGTGAATTTGTGATTGAATGTCTGCCTCTATCCCCTGTGTGCTCGCGTGCCTTCTCAATCTCCTCTATTCGAGCTTCCTGAACTTCTTTCGGTGGTAAATGAGCAGTTGCAGCATGATGATTCTCATCATTCGCGCCGAAGATAACTGGCTCTTGCAGGTTCGCAACGTCTTCAGCAGATGGAGGCACTGCTTTCCTTGGATCCACTCCAGGGCTTCCAGGGGGGCTTTCCACTACTCTCTTAATACGTTCGACTTCGAAATTTCTACTGGATAGATCATGCTCTTGATCTTGGTCTTGCTTTTGCGCCGCAGTCGCAGAGTGACTAGCTATTTCAGGTACCTCCTCCACCGATGAAATGATGGCTGCAGAAGACTCGGTCGGTGAATCTGTCTGCAAGCTCTTCGAGGGAGATCTGCGTATAGAAACCCCAGTCGCTCCTGGTGTTGCCCTAACGTCATCTCCGTTTCTCTCGATATTTCGTCCTTCGTTACTATTTTCAATTGGAGTAGTCCCACGGCTCTTTCGTGGTATTGCACCATCGCTTTTGAAATAATGTTCTATTTTATGAGATGCATCTTTTATCGAAAGCTCCTTACCCGCTTGGCGAGTTGCTGATTTTTGTTTCAAGGAATCGGATCGAAGTTGTCGTCGGGTAGGTAATTTGATTCATTGAAGGGTCGATCTCTATAAATGATGTCAGTAAAATCTACAGAAAATTGTAGAGTGGTTTCAATAAGTTTAATACTTGTGCATGATACGAGTAGAATTATAGTACATACTGTAAGATATCACCAAGCCTCGAGAAATTGTGCCTCTGCGGAATTGGTGGTGGAGCATTGGAGTCTATCCCAAGGATTACAGGTATAGGGCCCTCATTGTCGCAAACTGCGAACAACTCGCGAAGCTTCCTCTTTCTCGACGAATTAATTCGACTGCCACGGTTAGTATCGTAAATTGATATCAAACGATGCAGAAAATGATGCGACATCAATTGACAATATTCAAATAATTAAATTACCTGGCTTCATCTTGTTTTGATCGTAAAAGGCGATTGCGAATGGGCGCTCCAACCTCGCTCATAATATCGCGACCGCGACATCCGTTTTTTAAAAAAACGGATATAGTCCCGATCTTAATGGAAGATTCTGAGATGCTTCAAATAATTAATTAAATGAAAACTGGTGGTTGTGAATTGATAGTAGATGGGTGGTCAAAATTGCTATATCACTGTGTTCAAAAATTGCATGGAAGGACAATCAAACATTAGGCAATCCGCGATTTTGGGCATTTTAAAGCGATTCCCTAAAAGAAGCGTCATAGCCTTTAAAGCATATTTCTTTCTCCATTAGGTTTACAAGTTTTTCTATTGAGTTTCGAGTTATGATCAAGTCTTTCGTTCTGGTATTATTGGGGGAAGCTGTTAGATCTTTTAAAGTTAGATGTTCAGGTTGTTAACAAAATGTTTCGTGGATATCTTTGTGTTGCATCGTAACCGAGGTGAGGTGAGGGTCTTGAGAATGTGAAGTCAGCCATGTCAAATAAATTTGGATTGTAGGCTACAGTGAGCAGTCAGTTGGTGAATGCAACAACAATATGAATACATATGTAGCTGGAGTAGCTAAATTCTTAATTTGATTTAGTAACCAATCGACATGAGTGAAAAGGAGAGATTGAAGTCAACACCTACCTAGATAGTCAAGACAACTATCATTGGAACAAGAAGAATTTGGTATTACTAATAATGAGTATTTGGAATTTCCTTCTTCCTTACATGCGGTGATTTTCCGGATATCGTCTTTTCCACTCCTCCTTAACGCCTGCTATCCCAAAACTATCATGCGAAAATCATCACTGAGTGTTACCTGTCAGGTACTGTATATCTTTCCTTCTTCGAAAACTAAACGCCGAATCAAGCTAAAGGCCATGGTTCTTTCCTCATCAAGTAATGTTGTTGGCACTCTGTTTCAAGAAATCAAATGCTGGATTTTTTTCCTTCTATTTTGAAACTCAAATTCTGGATCTTATTCGAGATTGTGGCTCTTTCCTCATCACTGCAATTTTGGCGGCAGCTTGATCGAGATCAATCTACAGCCTTGTGCTGCAAGTCGAGTTGAATTAGATCATTGTTCCAATGCTCCTCGATATTCCCAAATAAAAAACATTGCTCAGTATTCCTTGAGCACATAAAAGAATGTTCTCTTCTCGAATAAAGACACTGTGAAAAGAAGGAAAGTTCCGAAAGTTCATTTCAAAATGCTTGCCAATTGTTTTCCAATCTTTACATATCCAGGTATTGACCAAAGAAAGTGTTGGTTTTTTGTATTATCGCAATTGTCTTGCAGCTTGCATATGTCCCATTGACGTCCTTCTCGGTTGTTCACTCAAGAACGAGGTTTTTCTTCTGTTGCTGTTGAGCGCTAGCCTTCTTCCAATATTTCCAAAACAAACACAGCTACAAAAGAGAACACTAGCAATCCATATTCCAGCCTCGAGGTTGCCCCTTGTAACTAGTATCTCGGATTCCGCCTCTGAGTAATCAACTGGTTGATGAGATGCAGTATTGTTCTTCATGGAAGCGGCCGGACTGGGCATCAAGTCTGAGTTCGAGGCTAGGAGAAGTACACTTCCGGTAGCCCCGACGGCGGCTGAAAATGCGAGTCCAGGTTTGGAGCGATCAATAAGATACCACAAGACTGGGTTCACAAGGGCAAGGGTTAAGGAAGCTTGCATATCGGATGCCCAAGGTAGTTTGCGCTTGGAAAATGGTTAGTGGAATTGAGCACAAAAACTGAAAACAGGACGTACAATAGCAAAAGCAATTCCCATGAAAGCGCCCACGCTTCTGACTGCTAATATCCAGTCTCCTCCAAGGATACCCTGCGAATTGCTGGCATCGATCGCTTCTTCCGAAGAATTGCCAGTAGAGGATTCAAAGGGTAATTGCACCGTTTCCTCCCAGAATTTGTCGAACAGTGGTAATAAACTTCCTAATCCTACCCCAGCTATGCCCCAAAATACAAGATATTTCCAATCGTGGCTGGGTTTTATAATTGTCTCGACTTGAAGTGGTGCAAGATGTCGGTCATCATGTAGATGTCTGACAAGTAAACCGTACAATAGTCCTAAACCAAACAATAGCACAGACCGGAAAACCCGGGAATATACAGTAGCCGACTCTGAGGTAGGAGCGTCGGCAAAAGATTGTCTTCGATAGACTGGAGGGCTGCGTGCTCGTTGAGGACTTTCAGCGCCTATTCCCCAAGGTGTAGACGGCGTCTCGGGTTCGAAGTCACTATCACCAGTCGCCTCATATATTCCTCCCAGAGTAGAGGATGTCAAATCGAGAACGGAATGAGTGCGGCTTGGTGCTTCAATGAACTCGGAGAAAGGGGCAAGAGAAGGACTTGGAGTTTGGAGGGTAAGAGAATGTGTTTCGAAAGGCCGACGCGGCTTGGGGCGATAGATATGCGGGGCCGCCATTGGGATTTTGTTTTCGTAATAATACTGAGGCGGGCAGCAGTCGAAAATACAATCTTCCCAAGATCTATCAGGTGTGATGAGTAGCAGCTTTATGTGGAGGAGCTGCTTTCAGTTAACAAGATGTAATATATACATATTAATCGCTGGCCTAATATCTATCTTCGTGTGCAACATTGACTGAAGTCTGATGGACATGTCTCTGAAGATGCGAAGGACAATTGCCAGGGTTTGGGAGAATTACCTGTCGATGTGTTACGAGAACCTCAAATGTGCATTACTTGGTATACACCAATTAAGCTTCTCAGGGTCAACAATTGACAAAGGGGAGCTACAGATGAATGAGATATGTGAAAGGTACTTTGGAAGGACTAGGGGGGAATAGAGAAGATATGTATGTTTTGTGATGAAGAAGTTACGAGGGTTATGTAGCAAAGTCATAGCTAGAGATTCATTTCGCTCACTCATTCATTAATATTTCACATGTCTACGAAGAAATATTTGCCAAGAAACAGGTCGGAGGTCGGGCTGGAGGCACGGGACTTAATTCTAGGATGATCTACTGGACTAAACTTTATCTGGGGTAAATCCCTTGCAAACTCTTTTTCCCCTCAGAACATGACAGCACACAAGTGATTCGATTTGTTTTAATAATTCATGCAATCATCATACCTAGTAGGCTCAAGTGTCATGATGAGTGGTTGCCCATTGTCGTACAACGAAGTTTCCCCTCATTGGAATGGGTCGCTCAAATTCATTCATTCATCACCACCACCCAATGGCACATTTTTGATTGGAAAAATGACAAGATGTGGAATTCAAATATCTGCTTGCAACCTATAATAATGCCGAGAGAGGAAAATGAGGTAGTGATGATGATGTCACTGATAACGATTGGAAGCCTCTTTTTTTTTTTCCTTCTTCTCCTCTTCAACGTGCAGATGGTTGGTTTCAAGTGAGACGGCAGGAACTTGACGCTCTGTCGCCTCTTTGATCAGGTCCCTCCAGAACACTGAGATTGTTTTTGACTTCTTGCTACATTGCCAGTGTTCGCAATAAGTGAGCTGAGAGATGCACTTTCGAGATTGTCTTTTGATACAAAACCCTCTTCTATAGCTTTCACAAACTTACGTCTTGAACCAAAATCTTTTGTGTGCACGTGGATATACATTCAACACTGGGCTGGATCGATCGACATCAAAAATGGGTTTGATGGCTAGATACCCAGCACGCCATAAATTTTTGTGGCTCTGACAGGACGGAAAGAACAGAACAACAAATTCAAGCAAATAAACTCTCGTCTCTTTTCAGTGTTCGATACCAAATCATATAATTGTAAGTTATTATTTGAATTTTACTATCAAATGGATGTATTCAAAAGCCTTGGACTTGTCATTGATCTCTGAATTTCTAAAGATTAAGATGTATATTGACATTAGGGTTCAAAATCAGAATAGCGATGTTTCAATGTATGTTTTATATTGGTGATTCAATACACGGATTTATATCTCTCTGTGGAGGCTGGCTCGCAAGAAACTTAGTCATAGCGCAAATGCTGTTGAGATTCTGTTGCACGGAACCGGTGTATAAAGTAACTATTATTGGCATACAGTATACAATATCTCTGTCGAGAAAAAAGTCAGCAAGAAGCTCAAGAATAGACTTAGTACAAGAAATTCGCAGTCCTCCATCTAAAGCTCTCGGTAAATTGTTGTATATTGTAGGTTTTAGATACGCAGTGAAACCTGTTGGGGCTGAAAGAAGATGCGATTATAGAGTTTGAATTTTATTATGAATTAGGCACATTTGAGCATTCGCCTGGCATATTGAAAAAAGCTTTGCCGATATCTGAAACATATAATGCCTCTGCAGGTATATGAGGGAGGCAAGAAGGGTAGTAGTATTAGTAAGGTATTTCCAAGAGCAGTCACAGAGAACATTCAGAAAGTTGTTGTAGATTTCTAGTAAAACGAGCGGCGTAGCACATGAGTATTACTGTGAAACGGTTGGTCGGCCTACCAGTATATGAGAGTTATGGTTAGCCATCATAGATTGAGTATACTTCTTTCCATAAGATCTTGATTGGACATTCCATTGTGCGGAACAGGACTACATGCTCGGATCTGAGAAGTTGACAGCCATTGTTGCCTGCAGGTTCCTATGATCAAGGTAAGATATGAGTACCGTTAAACATTGAACGTAAGATGCTTTATTTGAATTTGAAAAGACATGGCCAGTTTTTGCGATGCTTCAAGAAGATATATGTGGTCATATATGTAAAATCAACTGAACATGAAAGCTTGTGTACCCGGATCGTTGTTCTTTGCCCAGCATGTAAAGGTGCAAAGCCAATGAAGTCCAATTGTCAATTGCAGATGGCAATCTGTAGGCAAAACACCTTTAGTTAACAAACACTTATTAGCTGTCAAAACTAGAAAAACCGAGAAAGTGATTTGCCCATGCTTGATACAATTTCATGCTGCCCTTTCACCCCTTGATCATCATTCGATAGGGGTGAACTTTCACACGATCGAATTGGAGAGACTTTGCTTGTTGTTTGATCATGATTTGCATCGGTTGCAGCTTCAAGTGTATGCATTGGAGCTCAACAGGCTAAGAACACATGAGCAGCACCGAGAGTTTGAAGTAACGTCGGACCCTTGGGACGCATGTGTTTTTTCGTTCCTCTCAAAATATCGAGGAGTTTGGATGATAAAAGTACGATCGGGATT